TCAAACAAAATATAACTTTACAACATTAGGATATGAGTTTTTGGCTAAAATCATCCTCAACTATGACTCAAATCTAATGTACATCTTTGTGTTATATAAGTGAACATAAAACATCCTTGAACTATCCAAAAAGTTTCAACATTCATCCTTGTGTCTATTTTTTTTTAAGAAACTCACGCCACCAACAAAATATGTGTCAAGTCGAATGAATATATACACATGGTTAAGCTAATCAAGTTAGGTGATTTTGAAAATTTTTAGAAATTGAAGTTTTAAATCATATTCAGACAAAATATATTCAAATTCTAAATATTCTTTGTAAAAATATGGCCAAATACTACTCCAACTTCAAAAATTTCAAATAAAGTAATTATTTTTTTTATTTTGAATAACTAAATACCTACGTAATTTCAGTAAATTTCCAGCATTTCTGTACATTGTATAAAATGTGAACTTCATTGTATATATAGTGTATATACGCCCTAAATATTTATTAAAGAAAATCTCTAAATAGTTGGACGTAATATTTTGAAATAATTTTTTTTACATAATCTTTCTAACCATCGGAACGTACTGTATAAATATTTCAAAACTTATGTATTGTTGCAAGTCAATTTACTTATGATGCAAAAAAACATACTCTATAAACTAACAACACACAAATTTTAAATTCTGAAAATGAAAGATTCATTTCCTATCCATATCCTTATTCTTTTTAGATAACTTTGATCTTCTCGTCGTGGCCAAGACGTGACCAAATTAAAAAATACTCCCTCCATTCCATATTAACTAAAGCTTTGAGCCCATTTCCATTTTTCAAATTAACTTAAGTTTTCAATCTTCAAGACTATTTTTAAAATATTCTTCCAATTTTACCCTTTAAGTTAGTATTGGAATTAGTTATTATAATTAATGTTTAGTTATTTTTGACAATAATTAATAAGGGTAAAAATGGAAAATTATGTTTAATTTATGTCCTAACCTACTTTTCTTAAAGGGTGTGAAACACCTCAAAGCTTAAGTTAATATGGAATGGAGGGAGTTTTTTTTTATTGGTTCAATCAGTTTCTAACAAAAATAGACTGAAGGATGATTCTTGTTATTTTTTGGATAGTATAAGGATGTTTTTTGCTCACTTAGATAATGTAAGGATGTGCATTAGATTTGAGTCATAGTTGAGGGATGATCAACTGTTTTTCCAAAAATTGCTATATTTCGGTATAGATTCCAAGTGTAATTTATATAATAATAAATATATAACAGTTAAATTAATAATTTTCTACTTTAAAATGTTTTAGTTAATCAATAGTTTATTAGAAACAGTATCTCTACCTTCAAAAGATAAGGATAAAATTTGCATGCATATCACCTTCTCCAAACATCACTTACAAAATTATTTTGGGTATTCTCTTGAAGTCGAATTAACAATTTGAATTTCATGCTTAGTCACCACAACATAAACTGAAATGGGTATAACATAACAATGTTTTTCATGAAAATATTCACACATTATGTTGGTCAATTAAACATTTGGTCTTCCAATAAAAAGGACAATTCAGAAATTGGCATTTTTCTTCACAACTCATTGCAAAGAAGACTACTAATTTCATTCTTTCATAGACTTTTAAGTAATCAATAGTAGAAAATGGAAGCCCACAATTTTCCCCATAAATTGATGCTCCTCCCAATTTTCCAATACATTAATTAAGTGGATGGATATGACTCTTTAATTGACCATGAATGCACTTTGAGTACAAAGTATGGGAGCACTTTTTAAAAAATGAATTTTAAGTCATCCACTTACCCTTCTTGGTCAACATAGACAAAAGATAGTAACAATTCCTTCTACTTGAAAACTATACCCTTTGGCCTTTGGTTATTTATAATCAAACAGAATGATAATTAACTACTCCCTCCATCTCATTTTATATGAGTTATTTTGATTTGATGTGATTTTTTTAAAAAAAAGAGACTTTTAAAATTTGTGGTCTAAAATAAGTGATAGATATTTGTATGACTATAACACTCTGTTTGGATCATTGTTATCCATTGTTTCATAATGTATTGTATTGTATTGTACTCTATTGTACTGTATGGTAGATACAATGTTTGGCTAGACTGTATTGTTTGTTGTTGTTTAATAATATTTTAATTGTTTGGTTTGATTGTATCGTACTGTATTGTAATTTATAAATTTACTAAAATATCCTTAATTATTCTAGGGTAGGAGGTTTGACTAGAATTAAATAATATAAGGTAAAGGGTAAAATAGTATTTTGAAATATTATGTAAAGATATAATTGGAAAAAGAAATTAAATAACAATGGGAACACACCAAATCGGTTGTTCCATAAAATAGGGGTTTTCATTGTTACGTAACAACAAAATTTAACAATACAATACAATACATTTTAAGTAACAATCAAAACAAACGTTGTAGGTATAGTAACAATACAATACAATACAATGAGTAACAATGATCCAAACAGAGTGTTATAAATCATTTCATTAAGGGTAAAATATACATTTTAAAGTTAAATTATTGTTTAAAATAGAAATGTGTCATTCTCTTTGAGAATAACAAAAAAGGAAAGTGAATCATATGAACTGGGATAAATGAAGTACGTAATAATTTTCATTGAATTTTGCATAATGTTACATAATAATTAATATCAAACTTATGAATCAGATTATACTATGTATGGTAATAGTACAAAAAATTAGTTTATGAATTCTGAATCATTATTCTCTTTAATTACATTCATTTAAAGTTATTAAATTTTGTCGAACTTATAATTATTTTACTAGTTATGGCTCCGGTATAATGTAAGGGTATTAATCAACACACTCACCTAAATAATAATTAATTAATAAATAATTGAAATTAAGAGTTGGAGTGCCGTATCAGTTGGGAGTTAGGATTAACAGTTGGTGTGGTGAAATTGTCGGTAGAGACAGTGAGTCTTGAAGCCACCTAACTTAATTCTAGGTTATTTCACCAATTGACACTTTTTGCCGGCAGAATCAGAACTTTCATTCGGGGGTTCAAAATCTGAAGAAATAAATACATGAACTAATTGAAGGGGTTCGACATATACTATATATACATAAAAAAAATCTTTTAACCATATATAAATAGTATAATTTTTCACCGAAGGTGATTCGGATGAACCCTAACCATAAGGTGGCTCTGCCCCTGGCCTCAACAACAACACATCAAATTAGTGGATTTTTTTATCGATAAAATGAAAAAAAATCATCTAATATTCGATATCGCGATATTTTAGAACCCAGCATATGATATCAAGTTCATTGACATGCTGTTACAATCAATTTTATGGGATGAAGGCTGAAAATGAAGCAGTAACCTGCAATATTGTATAATTAATTATATTCAACCACCATAGTTTTCAAGATGTCGCAGTAATTAGTAAGTGACATATATTTCATCAACTGCTAACCTATCAAATTCAACTCATCTCTCAAGGTGGACTGTTTATTTATCTTGTTTAACAAAAAAAAAAAAAAAAAAAAAAACTTAAATTCTTACTCCATTAATTACGAAACCACATCTAATATTTTATTTAATGATATCGACCTATAAATAAAAAGGAGGACCTCGTTTATCATTTTAGTTTGTTTGATAAATATAGAATAGTTGATTTAAAATGACTTTTTCGAGTAACCTTATAATAATGTATTGTACTTCAAGAAAGAAAAGTCATTAATTTTGAGCATAGAAATCAAATAAATTTGAATCTAAAAATTGAATCCGTCCAATTTATATCATAAATTCTCCACCCTTTTTTAAAATCTTGAATTGGCCCCACTCTGAAGTCTGAAAACCCTTTGAAGTTTTAATTTCCCGATACAGGAGCTATTCTACCATATTCCAATTTCAACTTCCTTCGTTTCATATTAGACATACACCTTCAATTTCATATAATAAATAAGAGATCGTTAATAAATTGATCAATTTTATTATTTTGTTTTTGTGTTCATACTCTATTAATTAGCCTCTCTTAAAAAAATGTTGGATTTTTGAAAAACTGTTTAAATTTTTAAAGATCATATTAATTGTAGGGGTAAAATAGAAACAATTACTCTCTTTGTTTATTTTTACTTGTTATTTTTTTTGATATATCAAGAAAAGACAATAATTCTTTTCATGTTTTACCTTATCAATAAATATTTATTTTTCAAATCAATTTTCAAGACACGATTTAACAGGGGATAGTTTGGTAAAATACCTATATAAGTAATTATTTTCTTAATGGTGTGACAAGTCAAAGTGTAACAAGTAAAAGTGAACAAAAGGAGTAATTAATTTTGTTCTAATTCAGTAAGTGAAGTACTCCATCTGTCCCTAATTACTTGTCCATTTTTAAATTGTCACACCTATTAAGAAAACAATAATTGATATAATGAGTTTATCATTTTATCCCTATTAATTATGAAATTGATGAATTAACACACTTACGATTTTCAAGAAGTTCTACTTTTTTCAAAGTAATTAATTGATGGTATAATAGGTAAAAAACTGTCATTTCTTGATTTGTCAAAATTGACAAGTAATTAGGGACAACTAAAAAAGGAAAAATAAACAAGTAATTAGGACAAAGGGAGTATAACAACAACCATTCTAATATGAGACGTAAAGAATATAAAATAACTATTTTTAATAAGATGTCCATCTAATATGAGACGTTGAGAATAGCAATTGTAATAAATATCCTATTGCAGTTCGTCTTAACCAGATCTACAACTATTGTTGAGAGGAGTAGATGAAGGGACCCTAGGTGTAACACTGAGATATAATAGCTCAACTCCTGAGTGGGGCCTGGGAAAGACCATCCAACTGCTCAATTGATTTAGGAAAGAATGTGAAGATTGTAATAAAGACTCAATAAAGTGATACATACATCACCTCTCTCTTTTTTTATTTTTTCATTTTAAACTTGGATTTCAGTGCCTCACTCCTTCCAAATTACTAACTCTTCATACTAGCCATGGTTGTAACACATGTAAGTAACATAATATTTTATTGTACTACTCTTGTTCATTGCAAAGTTTACTGAATCAATTGTTTGTTTGTTTGTTTTAGGAATTAGGATTCTATTTTTTGAAGTATAGCTTTCTACAACATATATAACATAGATTTTGAGTAGTTCTTGGTGAACTTCCATCCAAGATTGCTTCACTGTTCTGCTTTGATAGATCACAGGGTCTAGATCAGAGGCGAATTCAGAATTAGATTGGGTGGATTTATAATAAGTGTGTTCTTACTACATATAGTGTCTTTTATTTTACTTTATGTGTATACAAAGTTTGAGTTGAAAGTAATGAGTAGTTGAACCCGCGTAATCTATCCTAAATCCGCCTATTATTTTGAACCTGCCCTAAATCTTACCTATGATCATGAAAAAAGAAAAGAGAGTAGAGATTTCTTGTTTGTAGTGGCAGGGGTTGTGTACACACCGACCTCCCCAGACTCCAGTTGTAGAATTATGCTGGATGTGTTGTTGTTGAGGAGTTATGGGAGTGGGGATTTTGCATCTTTTGGCTATTTTGAAGTAATTTGTATCTTACCAAGATCATGAATAAATCTAAAGACAAATGATTATATAGCCGATCACAATTAATTTGAGATTGAGATGTAGTTAATTGATTGATTGAAACGGTGTTTTTAGGAGCATGAGGTACCTAGTGGATGGCCACTTGGACTTGAAAACATGAACACAAGGCTTAGAGTAGCTGAGAGATCTCAGGCTGTAACAGCTGCAGCAGCATACCGTTTACACGTATCTTCGCCTAGTTTCTCATCTTTTTCATCCTCCAGCCTTGACACTGAGGTAATTTCTCTAATTGTTTAATTACATAGTACCAGTAAGATACTAAAGTTACTTTTATGGGATTTGTTTTCAGTCTACAATGTCTTTTTTCCAAGATCAAAGTGTTTCTCTAGGCCGACTTATCGGTATTAAACCAGGAAGCAGAGGAAGATTGGAGTTTTCAAACAGAGTTCATAATGAGAATGTTTGTGTTAGAAGATCAGAGGCAGAGGATTACAAGGGACAACAAGGAGATAATATGTCACACAAACTTTGTGTTCCATTGCTACATAATGTGTTAGAGAAGATGAGTCGTAGTAAAAGTAATTCACACTCACATAAAAACTGATTTTTTCCACAAATTGATTGTGACACTAGTGATGTTGCTTTGTCACTTCTGTTTTTCTTCTTTGTATTTTGATAATAAAATAACACAAAACTGATGTTTTCCACAAATTGATTGTGACACTAGTGATGTTGCTTTGTCACTTCTGTTTTTCTTCTTTGTATTTTGATAATAAAATAACACAATTGTAGACAAAACAAAAAATTACTGCTAAGACTAAAGTTTTAAAAAATGAAACGCGCCAGGTAGGGGTCGAACCTACGACCTTCTGCTTAGGAAACAGACGCTCTATCCACTGAGCTACAGGCGCTTTGTTGGTATGATTTCTTTCTGTTTATATTTAAATAATCTCATGGAGAGTTCGATCCTGGCTCAGGATGAACGCTGGCGGCATGCTTAACACATGCAAGTCGATCGGTCCTTCACTTGCTGATCGTTTGCGAGTCGAACTCGCTCTCCCCTCTTTCTCCAGAACTTGGACTCAATCCACATCCCTTAATCTTTTTAAGCTTTTGCAAAACCTTTCCAATAATAGATTCTTATATGAAAAGAAAAAAAATAAATTTTAATAGGTTTTAAGAACATTTCAACAGAGATTAAATGATTTGACATTATCACATATCTCAAGAATTGTAAATATATAATAAATGATTAAAAATATCTTGATATAATAATTTTTTTCTTTTACATAATTTATCATAATATATGTTTGATAATATAATTGTCTTGTTAAAACTGAGTGATGTTTTATGTAGTGATTAAACATCACTTTTTCTATTTTTTTTTGTACATGAAAAATATAGAATCTTATAATTTTATGGTTAGAATAACTCCTTGTGAAAGTAAAATTATGTGAAAGTTTTTGATAATTAATATTAGTTATAAATAAGTTAAAACCGTTAAAAATGTACACACAACAACATAAATAAATTTTTTTAGAGACAATCTACTTGTCTGAGGTCAAACGTTCACCACTTTTCGTTATTGTTACTTTGTTAGTCTAACAAAATTTATAGACGGAGAAAAATAAATTTTAAACGACAGCAAAATAATATCGTTGACCATTTTAGAAATTCATTCTTCATTAAACTGCTGTTTTGAAGGCCCTTCTAGATGCTTCATCAATGCAACTTTACGACTTTTTCAGAAATATGTATGTATAATTTTTTCATTATGAAAGTACAAGTAGATCAAAATATTGGATTCTAGATTCATGTTAAAGAAATATTCTCGAACATTAAAAAATTAAAAATGAGTGTAACGTTGATAACTCAAACACTCATCCATGACTTGGGACATAAAAGACAACAAATCTATGTTAATAGACATATCTTTTGTAGCTTAAGATATTACTTTTATTTAGAGCAGATTTTATTTCATATTCTTCAAATTAAGCTTATCGAAAATAGTCATAATTCAAACCAAAAATATTTAGAAGAGCCGAATGAGAAGGAAAAAAAGAAAAACATTAAAAGGACGAAAGCTTTTGCCCAAGTAAGATCATATACATACCAAACGAAAAATGATCAATACAATTTTAAGGAGACCACAAAATAGCAAGAAAAACATACATTAAAGGGAGTAAACTATGAGATATCCAATGATGATAACAAATCATTCTAACCAGAAAAGTTCCTATGTTTTGAAATAACATACATCAAAAAATTGACTAACACTTCAATCAACTTTCAATCCTTAAAGTATTCATAATATCCACTGATAAAATTTAGTAAAAGTAGATAACATCAACGTAAAAACCAAAAAATCTGGGCATGCAAAATTATTAACTCTCAAAGGATTTTCTAAAGAACACAAAATCTCATCCTTGTATCAGTTGTATGTGAAGGAATGCCGTTGTTGATGAAGAAATTAGAGATTTGTAAGGGCTTCTTTTATCGTACCTTCAACAGTTCCAGTAGAGAAAACATGCTTGAATACTCAATTAACGTTTGTCATATAATTTGTACTAACAAGTACTTATAACAATAATTTTGTAGAAACATAAACAAAAAAGTTCCAAGCAACTCAAAAATAACAATTAATAATATAAGCATAAATTAATGACCGTAAAAAACATACCAGGATCTGTAGCAATAGAATGAAATAGAATGAAAAAACAAAACAATGGTGTCAATGAGTCATTTAACAGGAGCAAAGTACACAAATATTTAATTGTCTAGAAGAAGAAGTAGTTCAAAATTTACGTTGTTTTAAAATGAGAGGAAATTCCTCTATTTATTGACAACAAAGGGTTGTGTGAACAAATGCTTAGTGTGTCTAATCAGAGAGGTCACAATTCTTTGGAAAAGTTACAACCCGAAGATGGTCACAACCTTTCGGGAAGGTCACAACCTTTCATAAAAGTCACAACTTTTCATAAAAGTCGCAACTTTTCATGAAAGAGGAATGCTAGTTTTGGAAATAAAATAATTAAAAGGGAATCCTAGCTTGTGGTGGTGCCACGTAGGCGGGTCTAGGGTTTTCTTTTATATATATATATATATGATTATCTACTCTCTTTTTGCTTATTAATCGCTACTCTAGAAAAAGGTGAACTCTTTTGTCGAACAATTACACTATATAATGATAACTTTTATTTCATGTATATATGATAATGTTGGGTTGTAAGATATTCATTTAGGATAATGTTGTCGTTCTTACTTGGATGTCTATTACACTTCCAACAAGTAATCTATTTGATTCTAACTCGCCGTACTATATAGAATGTCAGCAAGTAATCATCACTTGATAAACTGGAATTAGCTATATAATCGAATGAAAAGTTTTTATGAAGTCCAAAAGCAAATTTGTTCCTTCGTTCTGTCTCAAAATCAAAACCACCATGAACATCATCATAACCCTTTGAAGTTGCCCAATGTAGTGGCTATTGAGATCTCCTCTTAGAAAAAGTTGATTAGTGTATTCAATACCTCTCACAACCTCGCCCACATCTTCCCAAAATCATCTTTTATCCTCCTCATTTGAGCCTTTATGTGGTACGTTTACACTAATCCTGTTCAAGGTAAATCATTATTTAATGACTAGTTTAATCACTATTAATTTATCGTTCACTCTCCTAACCTCTACCACTAGCTCCTAAGCTCCCTATCTACTAAAATGTTTACCCCATTTCTATTCCTCGAAATTCCAAAGTACCATACTTTAAATCTGTCTACATCTCTAGCCTTAATAGTCAGTCATTTGGTCTCGTGGACACATGCTTATGTCAATTTTTATTTTTTTTGAGAACCTTCACCAATTCTATAGATTTCCCTATTACACCCTCAATATTCCAAGATCCAACTCTAAGCCTAGCGATTCTCTTGCCACCCTTGGCTTCCGCCCTCATCCCCATTCGAGAGCGCAATCTTACTCTACCATTATTCACCAAAGTCATAACACACTATGACAAACAAAAAAACAAAATAAATAATGGAAAACTAAATCACCTAATAAATAAGCAAGCTAAACAAGAAATTAGATGATATGTAGTGTCATTGACAGTTATTTTTTTGGATTGGGATTGGGATTGGGATTGGTAAAAGAAAAATAGAAGATAAAAAGAACTAGATTCTAGTTAAATCTCATTCTTAACTTCTTCAAAACAAATTAGTGACCTCTAGTGCCATTACTCTTTCTTTTGTGGTCTTTTTATCTACGGAAAAAGGGTCAAAATTGCCCCCGAACTATATGAAATAGACCATTTATACTCTTCGTTACATTTTGGGATAAAAAAAATGCCCCTACTGTTATCCTAAGAGACCACAAATACCCTCAAGAGTTAACACCCCAAATTTTTGTTGACGTGGCAAGCCACGTGGGACTAATCCTTCCACCTAAGCGTTGCCAACTAGGATTCACTACAAAAGAATTAGACCTTTAGCGGCAACAACAGTCGCCACAAAAGCCCAGAAAATCGTCACTAAAAGTTTTTAACATTAAATTCTAATTTTGTGTTTTTTTCTTCATTGTTTTTAAAAAAACCAAATATGATATCGATTAAATAGGAGTTTGAAGACACTATATGTTTTATTTTTATGTCATGTGTAAATGTATAAAATGTACAATGATGCATTATATATATATATAGTAGGAGATTTGAATCGAGAAGTAATTTTAATTATTTTTCGTAATAATATTGGATGTTTTTAATATGAATATTGCAAGTTATTTATTTTAGAAAATTAGGCCGCAATCGAAAATTAATTATCATATTTTTTGTTGAAAAAATAGGTTTTATTAGCGAATGGTTGTTGGAGCCTTAGTCGCCACTAAAAATCACTCATAACCTTTAGTGGCAATATTTTGGGATTTTGTGGCGACTTTGTCGCCACTAAAAGTCAAGTTCTTTTGTAGTGAATCTTAGTTGACAATGGTTAGGTGGAGGGATTAGTCTCATGTGGCTTGCCACGTCACTAAAAAATTGGGGTGTTAACTCTTGAGGGTATTTGTGGTCTCCTGGGGTAACTGCGGAGGTATTTTTGATCCCAAAATGTAATGGAGGATATAAGTGATCTATTTTGCATAGTTCAGGGGCAATTTTGACCCTTTTCCGTTTTATCTATTACAACAAAAAGACTGGAACCGGCCCGAAATCTCAGAACCTAAAACCCCAACAAAGCCCTTTTAGCATTTCACCGGTAGAAACACATCTCTCTCAGAGTTTTCCCCGATCCGAAAATGGCCACTTTCGCCGCCAGGTCCGTCCTCCGCTCTGCCACTTCCTCCGCCAGAACCGCTGCCACGAGATTCGCCGCCGGTGCCAAGCCCAAGGCCGCTCCTTCACCCTTTCGCATGCCCACTCAAAAACCCCTTGCTGCTCGCATTTTCAGGTCACGGAGTACACACAATGTTATATTTTGTATATTTCATCGATTAATTGAGTATTAATATTGTGACAAGATATTGAAGTTTTTGAATTTGGCAATTTATATGAAGGTCGCCTGTTGAAATGAGTTGTGCAGTGGAAACTATGCTTCCTTATCACACTGCCACTGCTACTGCGTTGCTGACTTCAATGCTCTCTGCTACTCCTCGGAGTTATGGTTGGACTCTTGAAGGTATATTTTCATATGCCTTCATTTTGCACTTCTTATATTGATCTATGCTTGTTATATAAATGATTTTGTTTGTATGTTGCCTGTGAAGGTGTGGAATTGTAGTTGTTTGGCCTTAAATTATGTTTTCTTAGGTTACAATGAGATTGTACTATGCATTGATTTGACTGTTTTGCCAGTGAACTAAAATGTGTGGCTTTACATGTTCTCTGTTACTCTCAGTTTTATCCTTTGAGTCGAGTGGTAGACGATACGTAGGTAGCGTTTGCATACTATTGCTTAACAATCCTGAAATGTGGGCATTTATTGTAGCTTTGAACTTCAAAAGAAGTTTTTTGACCCTCCAACTCCCTCCCTCCCTTCGCGATGAGAGAATAAGTGGTGATGAACAAAAAGTATGTGTATTGAGCAATAGATTTAATTGAATTATTTTGTTAATACCAAATTATTTAGGAATGTTCATTTCACCTTTTTTCTGCAAAACATCAAAGGACTCTATTTATCGATAAATTCAATTGTTTTAACTTTTAAAATTCAGTTTTTATGCAACAGCCACAGTTTTTACTACATGTTACTTCTTCTTCCTCCAGTAAAGGTAAACAATGCATATTCTTTGATCTTGTAGGGCAAAAGAGGACTAGATGAAGATCATGAAATGAAGTTCAAGTTATACGAATATCTTCTTATGCCGGAGTTTTAAGTAACTTGTAGCAGTTTTTTCTTTTTCCTTTTTTTAGTTTCACTTAGGGTTGATGAGGAACATCACATCTGAGATTTTCATACATAATTAAGCTTGAATTTGCTGAAAACTTGTGGATTTGCCTAGTAAGAGATGTTAGTATCTGCCAGAAAAAGGATCATCTTGGTTTACGCTGCCATTCTTTTTCTTTCCTCAGTGTTGAAGAACGACTTAATCATTACTTTCCGTCCAAATATCTAGACAAATTTGAGTATAAAGTTTATGTGAGGATGCAGCTTTTCATAATCATAAATATTGCTGAAATGCTGTTCATTGTGTACTGACACTTATTGATAATTGAAGTGGCCTCTAATGTATGTTAGAGTTGCAATTTCTGATACTGTAGTGTGTCTTTTTGCCTTCTTTTACCTTTCTAATCTCTGAAGAAATTTCGGCAGTCGCTAACTCCCAACTGAAACTCCTTTAGTTATTATGACTTCAGCTCGCATTCCTAAAAAAAGATATACTTTGACATAGTGTTAGGACTTGAAATGTGCATTTAAATAATTCGTGTTGTCTGATTGTAGATTGATATCGAAATACCTATTTCTTGCAGATTTGTGAATCATGCAGCTGGTATTGATTGTTGATGAGTTAATTTCATAATAAGCTTCAAGAAAACTGAATCAGATAGTCTGTGGGACCAAAAGTTGCTTAGATATGAATTTTGAATTTCCAGTTGTAGTTGTTAAGTTGTCAGCATCATTCTAATACTTGGTGTTTAATCAGATTGCAATGATGATGTATGATGAATGTCAGAGAGTTCAAGCGAAGTTTTATATCCATGCAGTCTAAGCAAATGATAAGTAGAGTACTGAATGAGAACTTGGGACTCTTACCTTTCTGTGAATTCTGGCTTATGTTGGACTGTATTTTGGTATCTAGACGTTGGAGTCCTGTGGAAGCTCATTGTTACTAGATTTTGAGAGATGTTTAAAGCCTTAATTTGTCTCAAAAATGTTTTTATACAGGCCTTAATAATGTCATCTTTAACCTCTGGTGTTTTATTGACCATATTTTTAGTTTCTTGGGAGTATTTGTTTGAACTTTGAAGCATCTAAAATTATATATTTGCTCCAAGTTGCTATTCTTGCGTGATTATAAATTGATGTGAAGATACTAGCATTTGATTGAGTTGGTGCCTTAGATAAAATTCCAGATAACTGAATTGGATAGGCTGAAGGCTTCTTGCTTAGCTTACAATTGTTTCCTTTCTCATTTACTGTTAGTTTAATCATGCTTAGGGTCATTCTAATACTTGGTATTTAATCAGATTGCAATGATGATCTATGATGAATGTCGGAGGGTTCAAGCGAAGTTTAATGTCCACACTCTTGAGAGAATGTCTGAAAAATAGAGTACTGTATGAGCTCTGATGAAGAAATATATATTTTCTTCTGTGACTGTCTTTGAATTATCATTCTTATCTCTTCCCATTTGACCTGTTCCAGTAAATTCTGGCTTCTTTGGAGGCAGATGCACTTTATTTGTTCAACCCCCTTTAAAGCTTCTAGTGCTTATGACTATACGAGAAAAATGAGTAGAACTCAAGGTATCAGATTTATAATATCTTTACCAGTTTAAATGAAATAAATCAATCTTCTAACTTTGATTTAGCTATATTCTTGCCAAATCTGTGGAAAGTTCTAAGTTTTGTCTGGGAAGTTATACGCATCCTTGGATACATTCAAATTCAGAAGAATGTAATATGTGGGTTCTTCGACTGAGCTAGATTTTGACGTTGGGTGGTATTCCTTATAATGTGCATCTGCCTCTGATTTCAAATTTGATGAATACGTAATGTTCCTAAAGTCTGATTTGAAGTAAATAATCTAGTGCAAGATTTTCTTCAATTGCCAAATCAAGAAACTGAATGTCTAGAATGGTGACAGCAGAGTAGTTGAGGTTAAATTCTAAGTGTTAACTTAGCTTTAACTTCCTTTCAGTTTGAAGATTTTGGGTCTTCCCTATTTATGCTATGAATTCCCTATAAGACTGTTAACTTCGCATGCCTCTCTCCCCACTCCTTCTTAACTGACTTCTGATTGTTGTTGTATGTGTAATATACTTGGTTATATCTGTTGCATTCCTCAAGTATTCCCTTTGTTCTTGCATTGTATATGGATGATTGTTAAAATGTTTTGGGACGCGGTGCATGTCCAATGGATCTATATTGATGACGTAACACTAGAGCTCGAATGTATTTTGGAGTGAAATGATGATCTTTGTTTTCCTTGGCACACAGTAGGGTTTCATTACCAAAAAGAGAGACGTATAATTCGTTTCTATATTATAAATAGATGTCTTGGTAGAATATTTAACTATTCATTATTCAAGCATCTGCAATGATGCTAATGAAGTTTCTCTCCTTTTCTTTTTCCGTTTATTTCAAATTCAGTTCTCCTTTGGTAATAATAACTCTTGGTCTTTTCATTGATAGCTTTACTTTCACCCAGTAAAGTTAAACTACGGGTCTTAGAGAAGTAGAAAAATTATCCAAAAATGTGGGATTGTAAATATTAGAGTTAGAAGGACGATAAGGGCAAAACAATCTGCTTTCTCCTTAAGCATTTGAATATTATGTATACACAATTAGTCATCTTGAATGGCGTATGGTTTGGGTCCTCGAGTCAATTAAACAAGCAAACAGATAAGAATAGATGGACCCCAAAACATCACTTGTAGAGTATGTATTGGAGAGAAATTTTATTACTCATTTTTTTGAGTAAAAACATTCACACTTGTTATTAACGCCATTTATTTATGAATGGAATTGTTCAGTTTAATGTAAACAGAGTCTAGAGAGGAAACAGTATATCAATATCACCACAATGAGATTTGGCAGTAAATTAAGAAGCGAAAAGTACCCAACTTTGAAATCTTTCAATGGAGTTTCGATTTCTGAGATGGCGTATTACGATCTATGAAGAGAGTGAAACCCATTTACCCATATAGAACAAGGAAAAATAATAGTAATAGAAAATTACCAGGGGAACATAATCTAAGTCAGAAAATGGACTGAAAGCAAGATATATTAATACTAATAACAAGTTATACCCACCTTAACACACTCTTGATAAGGTGAATCCTTTTTACAAGGAACCGACATTAGATTAGTCCTACCACATATTAAGAATCTTCAACGCAACAACTAATTTATTGAGTGAGATTTGTATATCAAAAACAGATACCCACAAAAGCAAATTTACCCTATAGCACCCACCTTAGTTATGTAAACCCACTTCTATTCTTCGACATTCACCAACTCGTACTCAACCAAGGACAAATTGTTTTCTTCATTGACCACAAAAGTTGCAGGCTCACCAGCCTCAATACGGCCCCATTTATCAACATTTAGCCTCATAGATCCCTTAAACATGTCAATCTTCGCATTCCGAAGTATGATTGTGGCATCTGGCTTCATCAAGTCAACTGCAAAGAAGTCGAAGATGTCACAACAAACAAGTTAAGCTTCCCCCTGAATCCCTTGAGCAAAAATATATATCAAGGAGATACAACAATTTTGTAAACATTTAGGTATATCACAGTCACAAGAAGTAGCGCTGGGAAAACATCCTCTCATTCCTCGCCACAAAACTGTCAAAGCTGTGACTAAAAAATATTTTTTCCCCTCTTTTCCGGGAGGCAAAATCTGATAATTCATATTTGATCATGAAGAAACAAAAACAAAGTTGCAGTAAAAGCAAAAACTGAAGGAAACACACCCTTTATCCACAAAATCACATTAATAGAACTTCATTCTATACTAAATATCATGTTAATTTGACTCAGACAAAAGCATTGAAAACTAAACAGTCAATCAACAAGTTATTAACATGGTCACAATTCTAGTCACCACCTTAACAAGCTTCAAAATCAAACAATATTTTAAACTAAAGCGCTTGTCAATTCCTGCTTAATATTTCTTGGACTACCATGTAGAACAGAGCCATGAATACCTTACCAAGTAATGTGAACTTTGAACTCTACAACAGGTTAACTAATACTTCCACTTGAACACGGAACCAGAACTGGAAATGTTTTTATGTATCGGACATTAGGGTCTGAATTCAATAGGAGTCTGGTGTGAATTTACATTTCCTTTATAGGCAAACAGAAAATCTAGCAGCCTAAACCCTGAATATATTTTAGAGATAAATGGTGATCCCGTCTAGAAAACACCTGAGTGGTGAGGCTTTTTGCAATTTTACACTTGTAAAAGAAGGTAGTGGCTATTTAACAATTTAACTTAATCGTATCTCACTTTAGAAGCTGATCACCTACAAATCATCTAATTTCAATACTTATCCAACTTCTTCCACATTTCTCACTCCCCACATATCCCGTGAATATCAACTTGTCAGAATCCCTCTGATTACTCCACACTCTCAAAGATCAATTCCTTCCCTCATTCAACCCTCTTTACTTCTTTCCGACAATCACCACCATAAATCACAATAAAGCAGTCGCAAAGACATCACCCAGCAAAAATCAGACAAACCAATAAAGGAACAAGATGTTTATTCCATCATTGGTCTCGCATCCTTTCTCAATACAAAAGATGAATGCCTTTTTGGCATGAGGAAAGGAACACTGGAATGAGTAGGCTAAGGTTCATTAGCAAGTGAGGGTAGGTAGAAGAAGGGTTTAGATTTTCCTTTTGAAAACTAGTCAAAAATGAAAAGTGTATCTACAAAAGTTCTTTTTTTTTTTAAAAAGAAAAATGAATTGAAAAAGTAAAACACAACTCATATCTCTGAAACTGAAATGTTTTTATTTCAAACCAGGCAAAAAGTTTTGTTCTTCTATATGCGGTTTGACTAGGTGACAAAACTAATTGCACCAGCACTTCACCCCTACAACAAAATGTTAATGCAACTCCTATCTTTTCCATATGGTGAAATCCATCAACCGGAACCCCCTAACCATAAGTCCAGCCACGACTATTTCCCACTTTGCTCCCATGAATACTCGAACCAGAACCTTATAGTTAGATGTGGGTGGCTTTTAAGTTTTAACACTTTGTTATCCCTCTCTTGTTAATACAGTTCCACTCAATAAACTACACAAACATATATCTCTTTTTGATTTTTGAAAAGATAGGACATAAAAAATGCAGATTCACATAAAAAGCACACTTTTAGATCCCTTAGAACGTACATCTATAACTGCATCCTAATAACTAGTCTTATTTTCAATCACAACCCACCCTCCTCTGACCGAATTGTCGATCACTAAAAACCATAATCTACAAACCACATAAAATCAAACAGATCACGAAAATGTCAAAAAAAGACCCAATTTTTCGACTCAAAATTGCAAACAAAAAGTGATGAACATAAATCCATAGAAGGGTAAGGAACAAACCTTGATCGTTACGAGCAGTGAGAAGAATGGATCCAGTTTCATCCCCAACAAGACATTCAGCGATGCGAGTATTCTGTTGAGGGCGTGCTGGAACACGTAACGATGATGGGTTCCTAGGTTTCTTACTGAGTACTGTGTTGGCATTCACAATCTTAACAGTAAGATTGTGACCGGTTGTTCCTGGTTTCAACTGATCCACTTTGGTGAAAACTGGCTTTCTCATCGCTGGCTTCGCCGCCGTGTTTGCTCCACCGGAATTAGCCTGTTGTCGGTTGCCGGATCTTGTTGCCATTTTGGTTTGAGAAATGGTTGAACAAAATTCTTTGAGTTTTTTGGGAGATCGGTTTTTCTAACCCTAACCCTAATCGTGAATTCAGGAATTGAAGAAAATGAATTTGCTTGAATGGTTTGCCGTATGTGGCGTTCACGCTACCAAAGAGGCGACGTCGTTTCGGTCTGCTTATAAGGTAACTACCCCTTTTGGCTTTTTAATTGCAATTATTTCATAAACTCTTTTCAAATGCATACCTAATAAGAAATATTAAGCTAATTTAGTTGGTGTAACCTATAAATTAACAAGTGGTCTCCCCAAAAATTAACGAATTGTTTGATAGCTGGATAAGAATAAAACTATTCATGTATTACCTTTTTAT